TCCCCTGGCTAAAGTTGAAGATATTATTTGAATCCCATTCGTATATTTCAAATTTAGTTTATTGAGGAAGGTTTTTCCACAGAATGATTGAAAACTCACTGTTGAAACAGTTGATCGAAATATACCACTTCTGCAACCCAACTTCAACTTCTTTATTCGCACAATATGGATGATCAAAACAGAGAACTACATTTTTTGTTTGGCAAATTGAAGAGGTCAACTTTTTTACCACCCGTTCACCCAGAGTTCCTTCAGAGTATTCAGTCTTCTTACCACTTAGATCACACACATAGCCTGTCAACGAGTCGCATCTTCTCCATATTTTTATTCCACGTTTTATTGGCTTTAGGGGCATGTATTTTTTCAGAGACGATCTGCCTTTGAATTTTGCCATGGATTCGTTGATACTCTGGAACGTTGTGTCGCTTCTTGCTTGAGGAAATGCCTTTTTGAAGCACGATAAAACTTCATCCATATAGTAGGTCTTTGACGAATTGTCAGGCTTTTCAGGTTCGTTGAAATATAATTTTGATAAAAGTAGTTGACATCTATCCCTAGATATGGCATTTTTTATCGCTTCGTTACCAAGAGGAAAATGTCGGAACTCTATTATAATGCATAATCAAACAGACACCAGTAACTAGCATAATTTCTCTGGCATTGGTTTTTTCATACTTTTTTTTTGTAGATTTTTCAAGAATCTCTAGTCTTTGATTTGTGCAGTGGGCTATATAAAGAAACAAACTTTTTGGAAAGACTTTTAGAAAGCAATCTAATTCCGTACTGCTACGATATAGACCACACTGGATAAGTGGTTTTACTGTAGACGGTATAGTTTTCCTAGGAACAAAATTATTGTTAACTGTAGTCCACCAGATATTCCCATTGGGTAGCTGTTGATTATCTTCAGTGTCTGCGGCAGCATTCGGAATCTGTATGTCTTCGTTGTCGTCATCAGAAGAGTCACTTTCACTCTCTTCTGACCCAGATGAAACATTTCTATCTTGCACACTGTCGTCACTACCATATGGCTCGGAGCGATCTGAATCTTCCTCACTCTCTATCTCATCCAAGTTTTCAACAAAGTATGCTAGTTCGTCCTCTGCGAGAGCTTTTCTTCTGGCACTCATGCTGCAATATAAGAAGAGGTTAGGAGTGCATACTAACCTAATGGGATACATATGTCCCAGTATAAGTACCTGTTGGGACATATATAACCCAGAGATAATACATGCGATAAAACACTCTAAACTATTATTTGATTCAAAATTTTGTAAAATTACTTACCTATGCGCTTTGCGTTACCGAATTTCTACAAATCAGCACAAAATAATGGAAATAAACTACAGTAAATGTAAATAATAGTGAGTTGGACGCTAGTTTACATGTAAACAGACTCGCAGAACGTGCTCGACTGGTCGTCGTTTTATTTGGCGAGGTTGCCACATCGCAGGATATTTACGCAACACCATAAAGCACTGATGTGTCCCAGCGCAACGTGTTTTCGATATGAGGATCCCGTTTTAGAAATTTATGAACAACTGTTGGGACATATGTGTCCCTGCAGGAGTGAAAGGGTTAAGGCGCTCTCGTAGCGGTGCCTGTGTGAAAGTAAAGATTCACATTGAATATGAATCGTTGAAGATTAAATCCATTTGGAAAAACGTTCTCAGAAAGTTTATTTCACAAAAACGCAGTTTTTCAAATGAAAGAGTTCTTAAATAGTGAAGTTCGAGGTGTACTGATTTGAAGCTCAAAACGATGAACACTCACAGTCCGTCGCGTATTTCTGATATGTACCGCGGTGGAATCAAAAGTGATAAGCTGTTACGAGATGGCTTTGCCTCCATAATCTACACATATTTGTATAGAATTACCTATTTAAAATTGATTGCTTCCTTCCTGTCTTTGGAAGATTCCTAAATTTTTCATACGAGTTATCAGTCGACCTATAATCTCTTCTAAGACGTAACATTTCATTTTTAAAATTTTCATTTTATACTGTTTGCTAAACAATCTGAACACAAAGAAACCTTTTTTTTTGCAAAATTTTGAATTGTAAATTCTAACATAACAATTATTTCAAATTTCAATTTTTTATTTTCACAGATCAGGGACTCCTCGGAGCAATCTGCAGTAGTACTACAACCTAATCAGAATCAGAATGCTGACACCTGTTCCGAACTAAAACCGATTCTGTGTGGAAAATGGAATTCAGGAAGGATCTTCTCTGTGCCTGGATTTATATAGAGAGCACGTAGTGGTGATTCAAGTGAAATTTTCAAGAAACATTCATCAGAATAGATTGCAACTTTTTGATAGAGGTATTCATTTTGAAGTGAATTGAATGAAATCATATTTTGGAGTTGCTAATTTCAACTAATTGTAGTCATCAGTTTTTTGTATCATAATTCTGCCAGGCAAGATAACAAAATCTAGAAAAGCATACAATCATGAACACATGAAAGCACCAGAATCAATAAAAGTATAAGAACCACTAATCATTAAAACAAGTGGATGCATGAACAGGAACACATTGGACACAACAAACAGATTGTCTTTGATTCCGAGGTGGAGACGGCCGACTACCGGAGACCCCCATCTCAAGAATCAGAGGAGTCTAGTTGGATGTGTGTAAACAAAAACTTTGATGATTTCTTCTGGAAATTGGATTTCGAACACAAGTTGTGAGGTTTAGTTTGTTAAACCCAAGGGTATTTTGTTTTTTTTTCTATTGAAGCAAACATTGGAAATTGAACATTGAATATTTCAGAACATTGACACTCTGATTTTTTATGCAGTGACAATTTTTGTTCAATAGTGATTATTTGGTATTTCTGCTGATTCGTACATTTCAAGGATAGGGATGGAAAACCCTATTTAAACTCTCAAGTAAACCGTATTCTTCATTTCATTGGTATGATTGAAGTATATTCTATCCAAGTGTAACTAAGTTGGTCTACAGGTGTTGAATAGGGGTATAGTATTTCTAGAAACTTCTGTAGATGGCGTCCGAATAAGAGCTTTTTAGAGCTTTGACTTTCCACAAAAAATCACGAACTAACCTGCGCCCTTGCCTCCACAAATCAAGAGCTAGTCATTCCAACTGGGCACATGTTCTGTTTTGTGGCTCTAGATCAAGAAACGTGTAATTAAACGGTACAACACAAGAGTTGAACGCACTTCACTGTGGGGGTGAAAGTGATAAAGTTGAAAGGAGATTCTACAGATTTTATTTTCTCAAAAGTTATGAAAACGCTTGTGGAAGCTATTGTATAGCAAAACACGTGTTGCGGATTTGTGAACTGTCTAATGAAAATCTCACAATGAAGGGTTACCTGAATAACTTGGCGAAATTGACTAGTCAGACGACCTTCCAGTAGTAGACAAAAAAAAGGTAATGGTATTTCCATCAAAATTTCAAAATAGTGAATGTGTTATCTTGTAGGAAGACTTTCGGTAATGAACTGAATTTTTATTATTCAAAGAATACTTTCAGTTATTTCCTAATCTGTCCAACCGGCATCGGTAATATAATCATTCCAGAGAAACGCCAAGAATAACGCATTTCGAATAGTAATCTTACATTTTGAACAGCCTAATAAGCTTCTCGGAATTTTGTAGATTGGGATAGAATACAGCGCAGTTGGTTGTAGCTAATGGATGAAGAATCAAAGATCATAATAACAACGGGATCATTTTGGTAACGGAATCGTAGGAAAAATCGCATCTTACGAAATATATTACACTGTTTCAAATTTATAAAAACAAAACTTTACGATTTGCTCTTGAATATGTAGAATTAATTTTCGCACATTTTTGTTAAAACCAAATTGAATTGTAAAAGCGAAATGCGAGAGTCGATGAATTTGGTCAAATCTTGGATTTCAAAAAGGCTTTCTGAATTCTGTAAAAAATCTGTTTTCCGTTACCCAGCTGTTGCACCCCTACAAACGACAACCCTCGGAAATCGAAACTTGTGCGAGCTAAGGACTGACGAGGTCTCACCAATTAACATGTGATTCCTAACACGGGTTGGACGATAGCAAGTGAAAATCGATCGTTTAGCCTGGGGCTTAAACCAGATACCGACACGGCGTCGATTTGAGTGAGTGAACGAATTACCCACGTCGAACCGTTCGTCTACCGTCCGACCTGCTTGAAACATTTGCAGGCAGAAACAAAAAAATGCTCACAAGCATGTAGTTTGAATCTGCGCACTCTTCAACGTGACAAAAAATTCAACTACACAATTCACAGTGTATTGTGTTTAATCGGAAAAAGCAAACAATGTACAATGAGTTTTAACTTTGGAAATATTTTTTCCAATTGATTTATATCGTCAAAACTAAACAGGTAAAATAATGAAGCAGAAGTGGGCTCTTTTGATTGGATTTATATAAGTATGCTCTGAAAAAACATTTCAGTTTTATCAAAACCGAATAGTTGAATATCCAAAAGGACTATTGTTAACAATTCAACTTTCGACTATTAGAATATGCAATATATGAAATTCAAACTATAGGTAAAGTTCATTTTTCAAATTAGTCTGAAGTATAGTAAGTACTATAGCTATTAGTTCTTTCAACAGTGAGCTTTTACTGAATAAATGTACGCAGCGGCACATTGTTATGTGGTACCTATTTAATTTATCACGCTCAACTAAATAAATATAACCTTCATATTCAACGAAAGTCATTTTTTGTGGAGGGAAAAATTAGTTTTTTATCGACCTTTTTTTTGGGTAATTGTTACCTTCCAATTTCATATGATCAATGAACCTAAGTTCAAATATTGGTATAACATTTTAGGAAATATATGGAATTTGCTCAAACATGTAGAAATTTTCAAGTTATTTTTGTTCAGTTTATTTCGCCCTCACTGAATAGTCACAAATCGATTCACACATTGGCAAATTGACTCAAATTTTTCTAACATTAGGTTTGTTATTTTAGTGCAGTTGGATTAAACAATTTGGCAATTAAATAATTCGGCTGTAATCACGTATTTTACTGAAGAAATGATATTTATTCACCATTTACAAAACTGAGAAATAACCACTAAACAATTTCAACACAGACACAGAAATCTTGTTTACGTTTATGATTCTACCAACATTTTTTTTCTAATTTTTGTATTTAAATTATTCCTGATTTCTGCAATAGTCTTCATCTCGCGTCAGCGGCGATACGGTCTATTGGCTCTTCTAATCTGAAACAGACATATTAATTGGCAGCTGATCTTGTAGTAGATGAATATCCCTATTGTTTAAATTAGATGAGGTGATTATATTTTATTATGTAGGAGTTAATGATAATGAATAAAAGAGATATGAAATTCACAATGAAGAAAACAATCCAACATTTTGAGTAATTTTCAGTTTATTGGCTACAAAGCTATAAATGAAATATTTGGTGTTCATACCTGTCTAGTTATCATCCTTATGATATTTCCATAATCATACGTGAGGAAAGATATTATGCCCAGCAGAACTATCAGGTCAATTGCAATTTCTATGAAGTCATTTCTGACTCCACTTCTTGTTCACTGTTCCTTTGCATAGTTTTACACAATTAGTTTTAGTCGAAGTAACAGTTATAGCTTTCTAACTGACAACGCGTGTTGAAGTTGAATGACAGAAAAGATGACATTCAGAACAATTGAAGCATTTGACATTCAATAGTTGTGTTTTGTTGGTACTAAGGTTGAGCCATTTCCCTCAAAACTTATTCACTATCTCTGCTCAATGTATTCAGATTGAGCAGAAAGATCGGGAACACCAGGCTTTTTATAATATTATTGCGAACAATGATTCAGTACTTGAAAGTTTGTTTTGTCGCAGTCGAAATGTGCGCAGATTCTATTTGTTTGCTAATGCGCACATACGAATATGTTTTGGTAAGATCCTACTGTTGAAAGAACCGACTCAGGTATTGCAAAATATAACTTAATTGAAAAAAAACTTTACTAACAGTGGAAAAGATTTTATTGTTATATTCAAGGCTGTCCGTAGATTAAACGCATAAACCTATTTATTATGTGAACGTTGCAGTTACTTTCAAGTGCAGAAATGATTCAATATCATCATAGATCAATTGAAAATGAATGAAATGTATCTGAAAAATATATTATGATTGGTAGCTGGTTTTGAATGTGCTCAATATGTATTGCTCCAACGATACAATGTCATTATGTTTCATTTAATAAACTCATAATAATAATGTACCTAATAGAGGACAGTCAAAATTCAAAATGGAGCAAAAAGGCAGATATTCTTAATGGTTTTTTAAATATTTTATCTAGTCATACCATTTCAGATATCTTCCTTATGTTTTTAAAATATACGTTAATATTCTCAATGAAAACTTGAAATAATAAAAATATCGAAGCGATTCATTTTTAACACCTCATTGTTTTTGTCTCCACTGAAACTTTGATGAGAGGTTCATAGCAAATAACAGAAAAGGTGGAATCCATAACGATGACAACATTTTGTATTCGGTGGTGTGAAATATGGACATTTTTTAGGTGTCCTTGCATATATTTCATAAATTTTATATTATGATATTGGAAATTTTCATGAGAAATATAAAGGAAATACGCCGTATATGAAAATCCAACGATTAGTTTACCGAAGTGACAATTGAAAACGTAACAGATACACACAAAAAGTTCAGGAAGCGTTTTCTTCAATATTTATGAAAAAATATTTTTATGGAAGTATTTGAAATGTTAATCACGAAGATATGTTTTCGAACGTCAGTCTACTCATTGTTTCCAATGAAAGTTGCTGCAATTAATATGTTGTCCACATGCTATCAACATAGACAGTGGCGGATTTGAAAGTCTGGAAGCCCCGGGGCGAAACAGTAGAGGCACCTTTTTTTTATGAAAGTTGAATTTTCAACTCGCCCTTCGACTTCTCTTGCCAAAAGAGGGGAAGCGAGCGACCTACAGGGCCAACCATTTTTCGAATTCTTCAACTTGCTTTATTTGTCTTCAACTCTTGGGTACAAATTACACATTAAAAAAAGTATTTTCACTGAAATACTCGATCAAATCAAAATGGATAGTGAATGGAAACTTGCAATCAGGGCTTCCTATTGATAGCAATATTATAATGTTTGTGCAAGTATTCTTGGTAAAAATGCAAAAAAAAAAATTGGTTGAAAAAACTTAACATTTGTTGACCCTTCAAAATTTGAATATTTTTTTCATTTTCATTTTGGGAGCCCCCCTCGTGTGAAGGCACCGGGGCAGTAACTCCACCTGCTCTTCCCTAAATCTGGCCCTGAACATAGATACTTTCCTCAAGAGGGTGCAAATATTTTCTGGATAACAAATTTTTGGCGAAATTTTCTTAAAGGTCTTAATATTCTCTAGTTGCGTCAAAGAAGATGATTGAGAAAGAGTACAAATAATTCATTGTCACTTATCATTTTTGTTTCAGATTGTTAGAAATTCTAAAACAACTGAAGCATGAAACAAAACTTCAAATCAACCTTGCCATCACGTGAACATTGATTGTAACGTGCGCATAAGCAAGAAATCAACTTCTGCGCACACCTTCCTTTTCTATACTGTGGAAGTACCTGATAGTACGTCTTTCTGTGAATGGAGTCTCTTCTAAGAGGGCTCAGAAAGTTTAGCCTTTCTGGAGTCAAATAAATGCTGAGAAGAAGAACCGTTGGTGAATACTTAAGCGCTGACTCTTATAGAAAAGATGCCCGTCTTCCCCCAAAATATTTTCTGAGAGGTGTCAGTTTTTCTTTGGTATTTCAAACATAACCGTTATGAACAAGATAAATCACTTATGTAATATAATTGTGTTTGAAATCATTCAATAAAACACATTTTTCTACATCCCTTCGAAAAAAAATTCTATATACGCAGCTGGGTGTGAGACACCAGAGCTACCGCGCAGCGCAGGAAATCTTTCTATAGGAGCCACGTGGTGGCGCTAGTTGTTCCTTGATATGCGTTAATTCCATTGTTTTAACCTTATGCAAGCCAATCTTTCTGTTGGAATAACTTATCTGATTTATTTTCATACATTAAGTTGAATAATAACTGAACATTCTAAAAGTAACGGGAGTATTATTGTGTGGTGGTGTAATTTTTCATTTGAAGAAGGTAAGATACGGAAAAATTCAGAACTTGTATATGTTTAAGTGTTTCAATATTTGTTTTGAAGAATATTCATAGGTGGGTTTCAATTTCTTTATGAAATGCGTACTTGAATTTCCATGAAAGTGCTTGTTGTTGGAAACTGACATGAATTTCACAAAATCACTTCAGATTTCAACGTCATAACCCTCAATCCCTCATCTCTCAAAACCGTAATTTCCAAATTCCAATAACACTGAGACCACGTCAATCCATAATCTTATGTCGAGTTTTCAGAAAGCAAACGTAACTTCACATTTTCAAACACGTGTTAATCCTTGCTTTTTGCTAATTACAATACACACAAGGACTCACTGAATTCGTAAGTATATCTAAAAAAATGGTGAAGTTTCAGACATACATATATAACGAATGAACCATTGGAGAAGTTAAAACATGTATGTACCAAGTAGATTTTGTTCTTACAATTATTCGTTGACTACTCATGAACGATGGAAAAATTTTGAAATATTCTTGAAGAGGAGGAATTTTCAGTAATGTGGCTACATACCTACATACATACAAAGCAAATAGTGGAGCATACAAATTTTAGATATTCATCACAAATCAATTTCAATATAGTCGGTAGTAGACATGGTGTAGCGTTTAGAATATAGAAAGTAGATTGACATAAGTAAAATTAAGAAATAATAATTGGAATCGAAGTAGAATTATATCATAATAATAACAACATAACTAATAATGGAATATTCAAAAACTAATGAGGTAAATTGTAAATTTTGGATGGTGGATCTGGAACTTCTGAAGTAGAATGAATTCAACTCCCACACACTAGAACTACAATAATCTTTTTGATGCGGGATTTCCTAACCAAGTTAACATCATCAGGATATGAGCTATATTCTATAACTCAAACGGTTGATGAAATGCGCGCCGAGAATAATTCTGCAGTTCTGGTGTGGTGAGAGCAGTGTTCAGCTTTCATGTTTGTTTGATGTTGAAAATGCAGTCATTCTCTCTTCTGTGCGAAAGTCGTACAGAGCACAGAATAAGGCAGTGGTGAATAATTTTCAATATCAATATCCAATTATCTGGAGACTTTCAGAAACAACATTTTTCTTCTTCTACCATAAATATGTAGAACTTTTATTATTGAAGCTGTTTTTAATCACCCATTTCAAGAATGAAAACCATTATACATATGACATGCTAGTAATCACACGTCAAGAGGCGAGACCTTTTCAATCTTCAGCTCACATAGGTTAGGTCCAAAGTGAGTGGGTCTTTTCGACCCTCTACCGCAACCCGCAAGGGTTTATTGTGGCTCACATAAGTTTCAACTTGTTTCACAATAGAGGGTGGACAACCGAAAACAAATAAATATTGTGATAAGTTATCATCTGAATTATGTCACCTTTTTTTATTTTGTGAATCTGAAAGGAAATGTTTTTTGAAGATGCACAAATGTTTCTTCCAGAAACTACAAAAAAACCCTTTTGAATCAAGTACTTTCATATGAATATCGAATTAAACGAAAAACGTTATTTCCTTGTGATTCAATGTGCGTAGTATAGCAGTTGTTTGAAAAGGACTCTTTCTTCTCGTGTAATTGATTACTCATGTGGAAGTAGTTTTTTCGAAAGGGTTGTATCTGCAAGAAACTTTTGTGCATGATCTCTACACATCTTTGTTAAAGTGTCTTTTTTTCTTTCTTTCTCTGAAAATTTTCCACATTTTTATATTATTATGGAGATGTAGAAACTCCAAACATATTAATATTGTGTTTGTTCAAGAGGGTTGTATGTGAAAAAAACTTTTTTGCATAATCTACCCATCTTTGTTCAAGTGTTTTTATTGTAGTTATTATTTCTTCCTTTCTCAAGACGTTTCCCACATTTTTTGTGTATTTCTGGGGATGAAGAAAGTCCAGACTTCATTATATTGTTTGTGAAGCACAAAACCGGGCCAAACTAACACGGTCAGTGTTGCCAGGTCGTAATTTTTATGCTTAGTATGAGATTTTGTATCAGAAAAACAATAGATCAATACCAAAAATCGGAAGAAAATATATTTAATAGATATATACCTACTACATACATTGTTAAAAAAGGATCAAAAGAAAAAACTTGTCACTTTTTCGGGTTTTGAGTTGAGTTTACAGAAAATATGGAGGTTGATCCAATGACCACAGAGTATCTTCATTTCCTTTTTGCTGCGTCACTATGTATTCAGTGTTGTTGAATCTGAATGTTAGTTTGTGTGGTACTGTCATTTTCTGCGCAACTACTTTGTTTCCAACTCGAATAATATCCTTCCTCGATTGTCCAGCCTTATCTTTGTTTTTCTGCCCTCTTTGTTTCTTATGTCAATATCTCGTGACTCTGAATCTGATTAAATTTTGTCTCGTATTCCCCTATTGGGTGATATTTCTGATGGTGACTTATTCATCAAGACAAATTTCTGTATTTCTTGTTTGATTTCTTGTTGTAGCTTATCTGCAGCCTCTTGGGGATTTCACAATTACAAGGATTAATTCATGTTTTCCACATCTCCGTTTGCTTGCGGCCCATAAAAAGGAGTGTGAATCAGTTTTATATTGTTCTCTTCACAGAATTCTTGGAAATTCCTACTAGTGATTTGCCTCCCGTTTTCAGATCTAATC